AGGAATATGGCCAACCACCTGGAGGAATTAAGAAGCCTTGGCTAAGCAGAGTTGCTGTCACAGAGTCCTTGCACTGAAATTTATGCACTTTCTTCAGGAGATTCACACTTTCTGAGCCTGTTTATTCTTATGGCAGCCATCCTTCTAGAGGCATGGTGGCAAAAGTACTCAGACCCACCTAGGTTTATTCCTTTATTTTACTTAACACGTCTAATCTTCCCCATAAGCTCCTGCTCCACTGAACAGCAAAGGGAGACTGGTTGCGGGGGAATCGAAACCTCCCATTTAGTGGTATCTTTTGGGAAACTCAGTCTTTTCTGGGTTCAGATTCCAATTCGACCCATCCCATTGCTTTCCTCCAAGATGGTGTGTGGTGTGGAAGTAAGCAGCACTTGCATGACCTCTGGGGCCTCAGAAAATAAGAGGGCCCTATTTCCCACCTCTTTTTCCTTGGGTCTCTGGCAGTGGTCCCTGGCCTGCTGATTACTGGGCACCTAGCTGATCTGTGGGGCTCAGGCCTGCAGCTGGTGAACTTATCTTCCATTCTCTTGGATGGAACAGAACTTGATGCTCCTGCCCTAACTCGACACACATTCTCTCTCTCTCTCTCTCTCTCTCTCTCGCTCTCTCGCTCTCTCTCTCTCTCTCTCTCTCTCTCTCTCTCTCCCCCCACCCCCTCTGTCTGTGTGTGTATGTGATTTGATCTAATCTAGGCTCTCACTGGCTTTACAGCTCCCCTCCCCCTCCCGCATGGTTGATCCTAGGCTTGGGAAGTTTGATATGCAGCCCGTGGCTATAAGGTCAGCTGGCTCCACTGTGATAAGCATCTGCTTATGCAACTTCAGCAGCCATGGAGCAGCTGGGAACTTCTGGGTCCTTCCCAGACCTCATGGGAACTGAGGGAGGCTCCAGAGTGCTAACATGGCCAGGTTCACTGTGCAGCAGCTTTCAATCACCCAGTGTGGTGTTCTGTCCCACCCCTGAGCATCACCTGGGAAGCCAAGGCACAAAGTCTATACCCTTTTCTCCTCTCCTGTTCCTCCTCCGCTTTTATCGTTGTGTGGAAGCAGGACTGTTATAGCAATCGGTCAGCACACTAAGTTGTAACAAGTAAAAGATGGTAGTGTTCAATTGAGGGAAGAGACAATTTATTGAAAAGACAGACAGGAGAACCCAAGCATTTAGAGGCAGAATAATTACTTCTACCCACATTAATATTTCCTGAGGCCATCATTGTGTATCACAAGGTAGAACAGCAATATATGATGACAAGAATGGTAATCATAGAAATGGTCTGATTTTAGTACTTAATGGTATAAGAGGGAGATGGTAATATAATGATTAAAAGCATGGATTTTGAAGTCAGATAAACCCAGGTTCAAATCCCAGCCATACACTGGTATAGCTGGCTGTTGTGCATACTCAAGAGACTCAGTTTCCTCATGATAAAATGAGGAAATCCCTGACACTTCATTCAGTAAAGTAGTACCACCGCACAAAGATTGCTGTAAAGGTTAAAAAAACCCCACCATAATGTATGGTAAAGTGCTTAGAACAGTACTTGGTACAGAGTGAATATCAATACATAGTACCCATTCTCATTAATACCCAGAATATCGCTTAGGTGGAATTTCTTAGTTCCTGATGGTATATGTGGTGTCATTGTGTTTGTATGTAATTTATAAATAGATTGTGCTCTGAAAGGTAATTTGTAGGTTGATTGTTTGTAGCTTAGAATTAAAAGAGACTGTGTTTTCTAGGAATAGGGAAAGGGGGGGAAGAATTTCTTTACTATTGGAGGCAAATGGCTTTGTAGCTGGGACTAGAATTCTTTTTTCCATTCTCTCCAAGTCCTTGGATAAAGAGGGAATTCCTAGATCTTCCATCACAGGGTGTCAAGGGAATCTTGCTCTCTGGGCTATAATCTCTTGCTTGGGTTAGCAGTGAGAGGAAACTATTTTGGAATTTTAGATTTTATGGTGAGAATCTTTTCAGTGGATGATAGGCTGATGATTCTATTCCTACTGTGCTTCCTATTTTTATGCTTCCTGGATAAAGTCAAAGAATATGCTGGTAGGCTATGATATGTACACCCAGGGCAATGCATGTGGAATTATGAATACCTTTAAAAGATGATCAGAATACTGTTATGAGAAATTGCAGTGATATCTGGAGCTTGAAATTTATCCTGCTCTCATTTTTTAGTAAATGAAAAATTCAATCAATAACTTAATCTTCTATGATTGAATTAATTAAACATTAAGTCTATACTTGTTTTTATCAAAGTAATTTAATTCATGGTTACAAAATGAACAACAACCATCCTGTGCCTGTCCTTCCTCTTATCCTACTCACCTTTGTTGAAGGCAACAAAAGAGACCATTAAACCTACTAGATTTCATATGCACTCAAGGGTATCTCAGTGAACCTTATACTTCTTTTAGACTACCCTAAACTTCAGTTTAGGAAATGTTCAATTTATTCAGGGAGAGAAGACCAACAAGAACAGTTATTCTGCCTCCAGAATAAAAAGTCAAGGTTCTTTGACTTGATTCATTCAAGACCCTTCCCGGACCGACCTCCAGTGTCACCTCCTGCCACTTTTCCTGGCTTCCCTTTGCCTGTCTGCCCCAGCCTGCTGTGTTCCGTGCTGCCATTCATGCCTTTGCTTGTGATGGACCCTCTGCCTGGAATGTTCCCTCCCCGCTCCCACCCTCTCGAGTTCACCAAAGACAAGGATCATGTTGTCATTTCTGTATCTATTGTTTTTGTACTATTATTTTGTATTATTTGCATCACATCTCAGACATTCAGAATGTTTAAATAAACCTTACTCATCTGTTTAGACTAGAGCAAGTTCAAATGTTATCTCCCCCGAGTCACAGCCCTTTATCTTTCTCAAACACAGTCATTTTCTTACCTGTTTCTTTAGTCAGTTGTGGACGTGTCCACTTGTCCTGCTGAGTTCCTTGGGTGCAGGGACCATGTCTTATCAATCTGGATACCCCTGGGTCTCACATTGTGCTTGGTACCCAGTAGGCACTCAGGAAGTATTTAGGCGTATATGGGAAAGATGCAGTGAAGGACTAGTTGTAGATTTTCATTAAAAGCATGTTTATAAAAAAATAGTAGGTTTATAGATTCACATCGTAAAAGTTGTATTTTATGTTCCTTAAATAGATCTAAGCAGTCTCAAGAATAAATTACTGTATTTAAATGATTCCTCACTCCAGCCTTTGGCTCCTCTTGGTCCCCACTTTCTTTGGAGTCTTCTGTCTTCAGTGCTGTTTGCATCAAGTGGAATAATTTCCCCAAACATGACAAATAAAAAAAAATAAACCCAACTTTGAAGGGTGGAGAAGCCTATCTGACCCAAGAATAGTTACCTCCTTACATAGATAGGAAGGGATGGTTACCCATACTGTGAATAAATTGTAAGTGCTGTCCTAGAACACAATTAACCTCCCAATTAAATGACATTATAGTACCATTATTTCACTCTGCATAGTGTGTGTGTGTGTGTGTGTGTGTGTGTACACAAACCTCCAGTTTACAACAAAAGAAGGGTGTACGTTCTTTCTTTTTGAGGGGGAATGGCAGGAGGTGGGTGGATATTCTGTGGGGAGGAAGGAACCAAACTAAAATAATGATAACATGTAAGTTCTGAATGTTATTTGCTTAATTTAAGTTCTTGAAAAGAAAAGAGGGACAGCTGATTTCTTGAGCACAAAAAGTAACGAAGACGTTTGATTTTCCAAAATGTGGGAAGTGGTCAGGCGCAGTGGCTCATGCCTCCAATCCCAGCACTTTGGGAGGCTGAGGCCAGAAGATTGCTTGAAGCCAGGAGTTCAAGACCAGCCTGGGCAACATAGCAAGACCCTATCTCTAAAAAGAGTAAAATACCTGGGTGTAGTGGTGTGCACCTGTAGTCCTAGCTGCTCTGGAGGCTGAGGCAGGAGGATCGCTTGGGCCCAGGAGTTCAAGGCTGCAGTGAGCTATGATTGTGCCACTTCACTGCAGCCTGGGTGACAGAACAAGACCCCATCTCTGTTAAAAAACAAACAAACAAACAAAAAACCCCCACAAAAATGTGGGAAGTAATGATAACACACTAAGCCAGTCACAGATATCTGGCTTACTTAAACCCTGCATCATAAGTGAGTGGTAGGATATTGCTCCGTGAAAGATCCCCAAAATATAGTTCTGTGGCTGCAAAATTTCAAAATCAGCATGAAGGTTCTGTCATGTGAGCATCTTGGCCAGCCTCTACAAAGCACTAGTATTAGGAGGGTCTAGTTGTTATTCCTGACCAAGGGGAGGGTCCCGTGGTATGTGTGTCCCATGAGGCAGTGCTCAATCCCCCATCCTCTGCCTCTCTGGGAAGTCCTTTTTCTAGGCTGGGCAAATGCTAGTTGGGATCAAGAAGGCAAATTTGTAGCTTCTGTCAAAAGACTGACAAGACTAAGATGCTGGACAGAGCCCAGAAGAAATTACTTTCGGGTTCTCTTTTGCTCTGTATTATCGGTGTACTTTCACTGGGATGGAAAATTGGGACTTGAATATGTCTCATGGGATCCCACTAGATTTCTGTAGGATTTATTGGTTCGTTGGTTAATCATCCTATCTTTGCTAATTTCTTTATGGAGTACAGTGACCTTAGTTAGCATGTGCATTAGAAATATTCTTCTAAAATACTGTTCTTTTGTATTCCCCATAGGGCCATATTCTGTTCAAGAGACTGTATTTTGGAGGGAAACTGAAATACCTAGATTGATTGATATTATTTATGTCCTCATTGAATCTCAACTAATGTCTTGCTTCATGTGCCCTTTTCTTTCTTTTCCTTCTTTCTTTCTTTCTTTCTTTCTTTCTTTCTTTCTTTCTTTCTTTCTTTCTTTCTTTCTTTCTTTCCTTCTCTCTCTCTCTGTCTCTCTCTGTCTCTCTGTCTCTCTCTCTCTCTCTTTCTTTTCTTCTTCTTCTTCTTCTTTTTTTTTTAACAGATACTAACTTTGTGTTGGGAAATGCCCAGATAGTGGACTGGCCTATCGTGTACAGCAATGATGGATTTTGCAAGCTGTCTGGCTATCACAGGGCAGAAGTGATGCAGAAAAGCAGTACCTGCAGGTATTTATGTTTGGGGTTGTTCTGGTAAACTATCATGGTATCTTCTGGAAAAAGAAAATGGCTTACTCTGTTTTGGAATTGCCTTTCCCTTGTTCATTGTGTATTCAGGAATATTTATTGCAATATCACCTCTAGTTCATGCACTGTACTGGGAAAATCAGAGCAGACATAAAACATAGTTCCCACGTTGACGAACTTGTAGTCAATAAGATGGGAGAAAATCCAGAAAAACTCAGGAAAACCATTTCATCTATAAAACGTGAACTCAAAGTTTTAGATTAAATTCAATGTGAAATTAGAAGGTTAAATGAAAATGAAATAAATTTTAGATGATTAAAGTAATTTTAAAAAATTTATGAGCATTTTAGAAGAGTAACTATAACGTTGGAAGCAAAAGCATTGTTCACAAAGCTTTTTCTCAGCCCAAATTTCTTTACTTAGAAAAAGAGAAGAGAAACAATATTTTGTTGCTTTGTAATTCATGCTGTTACATCTCTCTGTCTGATCTCTTAGCAAATTGTGCTAACAGCACAGCTGGTGTATTTGACAAGCATGCTAACCCAGCAGTGCCCTTGGGCTGTGGCACCAGAAACGCTCTTTCAAAGCATCTTCAAGGTGTTGAGCTGGGCATGTCGCCTGGACCCCGCCAGCCATTCCCCTGCTGTGCCCTGGCCAGGTCTTGGCCCCCTATAGCCTTTGGCTCCTCTCGGTCCTCGCCTTCTTCAGTCTTCTGTCTTCAGTGGTGTTTGCATGACGTGGAATCATTTTCCTAAACCTGCCAGATCAAGATATAAACTCATCTAGGAAGAGTGGAGGAGTCTGTCTGACCAGGCATAGTCTTCTGTTTTTAAAAGTTGCATTTTCATGTATTAAAACAGCCAAGAAACTTTTAGTTGGGTGAACAATATTAAATGCTTTAAAAGATTTCCATTTTCTTCAATTTTAGATGTTTGGGACTGAGAAATGGAAAGTTTATAATTTCTTCTCCCTACTGCTCAATGATTTAGAAATTGTAACTCTTTTTTTTTTTATTTCGGCATATTATGTGGGTACAGATTTTAAGGTTTCAATAAATGCCCATTTCCCCCCTCCCCCCAGAAGTCTGATTTTCCAGCATGACCATCCCCCAGATGGTGTACATGTCACTCATTATGTATGTGTATACCCACCCCCTTCTCCCCTCCCCCCTCCCCAGTACCCTATTACTGTAGTTTCTATGTGTCCACTTAGGTGCTACTCAGTTAATACCAGTTTGCTGGTGAGTATATGTGGTGCTTGTTTTTCCATTCTTGGGAAACTTCACTTAGTAGTATGGGTTCCAGCTCTAACCAGGAAAATATAAGATGTGCTATATCACCATTGTTTCTTAGAGCTGAAGAGTACTCCATGGTATACATATACCACATTTTATTAATCCATTCTTGGATTGATGGGCACTTGGGCTGTTTCCACAGCCTTGCAATTATGAATTGTGTTGCTATAAACATTCGAGTGCGGGTGTCTTTTTTATAGAGTGTCATTGGATCTTTTGGGTAGATGCCCAGCAATGGGATTGCTGGAAAAAATTGTAACTCTTAATGCAATAGAATTCTCTTATATTCTTGTGTGCTATTATCCTCTTAAGTATTTATGTATTTATAATGTACATCTACAGCTATATCTGTATTGCACACATACAATCAGAACAAATTGAGAGAGTTAGCTTCATTTTATAGTGTGACTTTAACGGCCTTTCATTACCTTTCTTTCTTCTTATAGGCTATAACCAGACACTTTAAGGAAATCAGATAAAATAACTTGCTAATTTAGCCAACTTTACTTTTATGCACAATTCTAAGCAACTTATTTATTTACCTAAAGATGTCCCTTCTCTAGAAATAAACACATATACCTTCGCGCTAGCTATATTCCTGATAGCTTAGGACTCTCTTTTACTTATTTCTTGTATTACATTTGCAATCTGAGATCTAGGTGAAGGAAACTTACACCTACCAGTAAACTACAGCTTGAAAAAGTACATAAGACTAATGAAAGCTGGGTGTAGTTGTGGCACTTCATTTACTTGAAGACGCAGCTTTACAGGGATTTGTTTTACCTTGTGAAAGAAATTGCTAGCATATATATTATACCATCACTTCACTTAAATGGAGGTCACTTCTCTAGAAAATTAAGTCAGAAAGAGAAAGAAGAGAAATCCTCTTGTTCTCAGTTAGGGCTAAATTAGTCTTGATCTACTTTTTAAAGATAATTCAAGAAGCTCGGTTTTTTATTTTCCTGGCTTATAGGTAAAGAGTACAAGCAGAGTACCATGTGTGATATGCACATGAGCAACAGATAATCACATCCCTCAGTGGGCTGGGAAAGGACACAAAATAATAAAAGTGACACAGAATTCATCAAGTCAGCAGCTCGGTCTCTTCTCGCCTGGGGTGTCAGAACTCAGAAGCCTGTAGTAAGCCCAAGGCTGTTCCAGCATGGTGCTTGACTTGTTGGTTCAGTTTTAGATCAGGAATCGCAGTTGATAACCTCTGAGGTTCTTTGTACCCCCGTAATTCTATGATTCTATGATTCAATTCAAACCATCGAGAAAAAGCGAGATGATATTCAGTATGCACAGTTTTCAAAGATAGAAAGTGTATTGTTCAGGAACTCATGCCATTGTTTCTGCATTACCCAAGACAGAGGAGTGATAGGAGTGGTCACTGCTGTCCTTCTTAGTCACTGTTGCCTTAAGGCCTGAGGTGGGCTCGTGGGCACCCTTTGTCAGAGAACTGGATTTGCCAGCCCCGCTGAGAGATGTTTTCTCACCTTGCATCTTTTAGTGTCCTGTGCCATAGTTCAGTCTGTTTAGTTGGGGATATATCCTGTTCTCACAAGGACAAATGTTAGTCTTTAGACCACGTACAGTGTGAGGCCCAGTACAATGGACAGTCCCGGCTGTTCAAGACTAATACTGCTGAGACCAGTATTAGTAGGTGGAACTTCTACTATCCCGAGGTTTTTTTTCTGATTTCTTTACATACTGCTTATTTACCTCCTTTGTCTACTTTTCTCCAAACTTGAGCAGCAGGGAGGTGTCTCAGTAAGAACGCGTAGGATTTTATTGTCTCAATTTTTAAGACTCAATGCTATTTTTCTTTTCTTGGGTGAAGGGCAGGAAAAGGAGCTGCACAAATAGTGGCCGAATCTCATTTCTTTCCTTAGCTGTGTCTAAATGTTTAGAGCATTGGATTGTACCCCTTCTCTTGTTTGGTTGGTGAATTTTTGTGATTTTTCCTTTTTTATGGGGGTGTTATTTTGTTGAGAATGAGAAGAGGAAAAATGGTCCAAACTTACTTGGCCATCTTTACCAGGAAGGTTCCCAGAGTTGTATTTCTAAAATGATATCCAATTATGTTTATCCATTACTTAACACCCCCCTCCCCCATATGCCCCCATTGCTTTCCGGATAAAGTTTAAATTACTTCCCATGGCTTACAAAGCCATGGTCTCCTCCATGACCTGGCCTTTGCTTGTTTCTCTATATTATATACGGCAAATATTCCCTCATTGTCTATATTCCAGTCAACTGAACCACATTCAGGTTCTGGAATTAACCTGACTCTCTCCTCTGTGCCTTTGCACATGCTCATCTTTTGCTTGGCATTATTTTTATCCCTTCTTTTCTCAGCCAATTCCCCCTTGCTTTTCACACCTCATTTGGTCTTGCTTCTGGGAAGCCTTCTCTGACCAACCAGAGAGTACGCTGGTGCCTATTCTGTGTGTTCTGCAATTCCTTAGATGTGCTACTCTTATAGCACTGATCATACTGTTTTCCAATCTGTTTTCTGATCTGTGGTTTTCTAGTACAGATCTCTCATTAGACTTTTGGTTTTGGGGGGAGGGATGGAGTCTTATTCACGGTCAAATCAGTAAAGCTTTTTGGATTCAATGAATGTTTTCACTCTGTGTGTGTATGTGTGTTCCTCAGTGCTGGGTATAGAACAGATACATATGCTTATAGAATAATAAATACTTGTTAATCTAACATGAGCTTTCTGGTTGACTTACAGTTTCATGTATGGGGAACTGACTGATAAAGACACAATTGAAAAGGTGCGGCAAACATTTGAGAACTATGAGATGAATTCCTTTGAAATTCTGATGTACAAGAAGAACAGTGAGTATTCAGATCATTCTGACCCATACCTTTATGTGTTTAGAATAGTAAAATATCTCCTCTTCCTCTGTTGTCTTGATTTTTCTTCTCTCCCATCAGCTAAATGTTGTTACCTGAAGCCATTGTGTATGTTGGGATAAACGTTATTGATTGATCAGTTACACTGTTCTTCACGGGAACATTTGTTGAGGTTTTTGTAACTAACTAGTTAAGACTTCATCTGTTTTGCTGCCAAGTTAGCGTTTTCCAGCCGAGTTAGTGTTTTCCATATTGGCTTACTTACGGTGAATTGCTGGCTTAAGGCATTTGTAGACTTCAAGACTTCTTAAAGCAGGAGGGCAAAGGTGGGACAGAAACTGTCCAGTTCATCTTTGTATCCATCTTCCCCAGCACCTGGCATGGCCAGTAACACCAGTAGGCACCCAATTAAGAGTTTCAGAATAAAATTTTATTCTCCTGATGACTCCAGGAGATAGTATTAACTACAGCTGCATCATTAATTTGTATTTGTTTTGGCTACAATTACTTCCCAAAAGTATGTTAAGGAGGTTTTTAGGTCAATAGCTCTACACAAGTGTAAACCTTGCTTTTTCCTTAGGCGGTTTCCTATGGAATGGAGATTAGCTATATCAGAAGTATGGAAAGGGGGCCATATGGCCCTAGCAGGGCTGCAGAGGTGTTAATCATGCTTTGTTTCTGTTTTTAAAACACTATTTTGTTTGTAAAGAATTCTGGTTTTTTATATGTAGGATCGACTGGTAGGTAATTGGTTCGATAGAACATTCCCAGAATGGCCCAGATGGCCCATGAGGATAAGTGTGTATTTCGGTGGCATTCAAGTCTGAGTGATATGTTTTGCTTTGGAAAACAAAGAGCACATATTGCTTTTATCTAGAAGGAGCTGGGATTTTTTTTTTTTTTTTTTTTTTTCAGTCTGGAGTGTTGGAGCAAGTGACTGAGAGGGCTGTTTGCTTCCTGGCCCGTGCAGATTCTGATCTGAGAGATTAGCACTGGCCATCAACAAGCCCAAGAGGGCTGTTCCCACAGCCTTGACACTGGAATTGCTGCCTAGCTCCAGCTCGCTCCCTCTGGCAACAGGTGCTAGTTCCCACCAGGATACTAGCTACAAGAGGAATGAGGTGAAAGCCTGTGAAGGGCTCCCTGCCAGGCCCTCCTCTGTGGGGGAACACAGCTCAGAGCAACAGCTCTTAGCAGAAGTGCTCCAACAGTGGCCTTCTAATGGGACACACATGGTCTGCACATGCACACTGATAACCTCTGAGGTTCTTTGTACCTCTGAAGTTCTATGATTCTATGATTCAAGTCATCAAGAAAAAGTGAGATTATGTTCAGTATGCACAGTTTTAAAAGATAGAAAGTGTATTGCTCAGGAACCCATGCCATTGTTTCTACATCACCCAAGACTGGAGGAGTGATAGGAGTGGTAGGAGTAAGTTAAAGGTTTTCCACACTTGCAGCTTTGTGTCCTGAACAGTGTGGCTTTCCCCACAACACAGAACTAATTAGGTAGGTGTATCATATGAAGAATGCCCTGCATTTATAGTTTGCTTTAGCATTTTTATGCTTCATCAGACTATGCATCTAACTTTCCCCAATTCAACTATACATGTTTGGCCCAGAAGGGAGACAGAGGGAAACATAATTTAAATTGCGTTAGTGATTGCACTTGCCATTGTCTTCAGTGGGCACGTGCCCCAGAGTGAGTATGATATGGGAGGGGGGAACCTGCTGTTTCTCTGTGACCTTGGGGGCTGAGGGCCCTGTATTATGAGTATTTCACTGAAAGTGATTTTGGTATTTGAAGTTCTGTACTTTAGGTAGACATGAGCTATCTATGGAAGCCAACTAGTTTAGCTGATGGCGTGCCAAAGAATCAGCATCTCTCCCCTCCCTAGAGGTTGTAGTGGGCTTATTGAGGGATGAATAATAGTCTCCAAAGCGGCATGTCAACCTGGGCATGGGGCTCCACTTTATGGGTGATATTAAGACAGCTTCAAGACTAATTGTGGTCATACCCAATTTTTACCTTACGCTTTAAGAAAATAAACTTTGTAGAAAGTATGACTCTATTTTAAAACATTGGTTCTCTAAGCCCTGTCAAGTAGGCATGGCTGAAAGTTAAATTTCTCACCCAAGGTCATGTAGTGCCAGGACCTGTTGTCCAGTGTTTACTCCATGGCTGTTCTTCTCAGTGTAATTGTGGGTACAAGGCAGGGCTGCCACATACAGCCAATTCACAGGGGTCAAGTGGAAACCAGCTTGTGATTTCCTTGCTGAGTCCTCCATGCACCCTGGTCTGGAAACGCACATATATTGAGGAAGGTGTTTCCCTTTCTAATTTATGCAAAGATGTCTAGTTGGCCAGCAGGGACTCTATACAAGGCTAACCCTGTACACAAAACATGAAGCATAAAATTGAGGAAATTATAATGTTGATTTCTCCCCAGGACCTGCTCACTACCCCCAACTTCCTCCAAATCCCACCCTCTCCTGAAGGATTTAGAAACTTTCAATTATTTGTTGAGTCTGGGAATTATACAGTTGTGCCGGATTCTATGTTTTTTTCAATAGCTTTTATTGACCCACTACCCTATGTCAGATGCTAGACTTGCTGCTAGGGATGCATTTGTGGAAAGACAGACACAGTGTCTGCTCTTACAGCATTTGCAAGACAGGGCAACACACACAGAACAGAACCAGATGTGCTTGGATGGTGATGCCACATAGGTGGGTCACTTAACCCCAATTTAGGAGGTCAGGGAAGGAAGTCTTCTTAGCAGACATGAGTTCCATGCAGAAACGGAGGACAGGTAGGAGTTAGACAGAACTGGGCAAAGAGTATCCCAGGCTGATGAAAAGCATATGGAGAGGGCATCAGGGGAGAGAGAGCACTGAGGGTTCAAGAGATACAAAGCAACGCTTCTCCAACTTTGATGAGCATAGCAATTCACCTGCGCATGGAAATGCCTATTTGTAGGCAGTGGGTCTGGCCAAGGGTCTGAGGTTCTGCTTCCAGGTGATGCTGAGGTTGTTGGTGCACCTAGCACACTTCGAGTCGCAAGGATTGGAAGCAGCTGTAGTGAAGACTGACTTTCATGCCACCAGGTTGTGTCTCTTTCATGCCTGTATCCCTTGTACCCAGCCCAGTGCCTGACACACAGAAAATGCTCCACCAAAACTCATGGAGTAAATAAATATATAAAGAAGGGGTAACCAATGAAGCTGGAGAGGTTAGGAAGGTCCAGTCATGCAGCCAGGTTAAAGACTTTAGTATTTGTCTTAACAGCAACAGTGAAGGGGAAGAGAGTGGAGGTGAGGGACGTTGAGGGGTTTGAAGCAGGGTAAGGATATAATCATTTCATTTTAAAAAGATGGCTGCAAGCTGGGCGTGGTAACCGACACCTCTATGTGATCCCAGCAACTGGGGAGGCTGAGGTGGGAGGACCCCTTGTGCCCGAGAGTTCAAACCCAGCCTGGGCCAGCATAGGGACATAGGGAGATCTGGCTTAAAAAAGAAACAAAGAAAGAAAGATGGCTCCAGCCTAGCGAGACTGGAGGTGGAGGGGCCCCTTAGGAGTCATCCTGGTGACAAGACGATTGTGGCCTGGTGAGGGGAAGAGGAATTTGAAACGGAGAGATGTCCGAAGGAGTACTGCCTGGAAGCTGAGGGTAGGACTTTGTCAGCGACGCCCAGTAATCCGCTCCTTCCTGCTTGCCTGGCCCCAGGCAGAGCCCAGGAAGTAGGAAGCCGCGCATTTCCGGTCAGGACCTGGGACCTGGCCTGAGGTAAAAAAAACGCGGGTGTCTAGGTCAGACACAGAGGCAGCGCTTGGTGAATGTTTGCTGAGTGACTTTGAAAGGAACTTGGTAGTTACCAAGACACAAATGAGAGAAAGAACGTTTCGTGATTCACAGTGAGGGCTCTGGAGTAGTGAGCAGTGTGGCTGCCCTGGCCACGGGGAACAGAAATCGGTGGGAGGAGAGGGAAGAGGACCTCAGTTTCTCTTCACCTCTGTGGAGACAGAGTTTGGTGCTACTTCCAAACTTTGCGGTTCAATGGAGTGAAACTTATAGCATTTTAAAGCAGTGTAGAGTCTTGTGAAGGAAAGCCCACTACTGGAGATTTTTAAAAGTGAAATGTCACAATCTAACAATATTTATTTTTTTCCCTGATTTTTAATGCATTTTTTTTATCATGGAGAATACACAAAGAGAAATATAATGAAGAAAAACACCCCCAAAACTCAGAGAAATAGTACTTTTAGGTGTGTTTCCTTTTAGTTTTTGTGCCGTACATAATGGATATTTTGACATATATGCTATTTAAAAATTGTGTGTTTAATCTTTTATCACAAAATATCCCCATCCTTGAAATTCTTCATAAATATAATTTAGAAAGAATTTTATTAGTGCTTCCTCAGTTGGATATTTATGAGGCTCTAAATTTTCTTTGCTAAGAACAATTTTGAGGTGAAAATCATCGTGCAAAGATAGTTTGCTGACATTTTGAAATATTTCCTAGAAGTTGAGAATGGCTGTGTCACAGATGTGATCTAAAGGTTTCTGAGACATTTTGTCAAATAGCTGTCCAGAAGAATTGAACCCACTTCCAAGTTCTCACACAAAATATGAGTGTCTGACTCATTATACCTCACCAGTATTGAATAGTATAACTTAAATGATCACATTTTCCACAATTAATTTTTTTGTTCAATGAGGTTTTTTTTTATTGCTAGTGAGATTGAAGTATTTTTTCTTATTTACTATCCATTTAAAATTATCCTTTTAAATGTTCATTGTTTGGATTATTGACCCACACATTCTATTTAAGTCTAGTGATTTTGTTACTGATTTTTACAAGATTTTAATAAATTGGTTTGGTTCTTTTTTCCTGCTTTTACTTTCTTTTTTTTTTTTGAGACACAGTCTCACTCTATTGCCCAGGCTAGAGTGCCGTAGTGTCAGCCTAGCTCACAGCA